ATGGTTAGTTGTATATTTTGTCTGTTTTGATCCATTTAAAAATTCCACCTAAGAATAAATATATGTTGTAGTCATCTTTAATGTAGAAATATGTGGGTAAACGTAAGAATTAAAAATGAAAAATGTTGATTTTAGAAATCTGGTAACTGCTTCTTTTAGATAAAGTAAAATTGTTTCCTATAAATGGTTGATTTTTTTAAAAAAATTTCTTTTTAAAGTAGACCTTTTATTTTATGAAGTAATATATGTTTATAATTTTTTATTTTTTTGATATATTTTATTTAAAACATATATAGATGGTGGCAAGGAAAATGAAATCTCTATATTCCTTTACCCTTCAACACGGCTAGTTAATCTATGGGAACTCCACACCCCGCTTCCGCTACATACTCTGTCCATGCAGATTTCAGCAGACAGATATTCCCTCACATTCTGCGTCTGAGCACTTCCTCTTTGGGCCTATCTCCATTTGGAAAGGAAGAAAGCTCAGACTTGATACTTGGTTTTCTGGAGAGAAAAAAAAAAAGGTGATTCCTGGTGGCCAACAACATGCTGTGAAGGTTGTTCTCCTTTGGGTGCTAGGTTTGTTTCTTACTTAAGTATCATGCCTGTCCAGTGATCCTGTCCAGTGATCCCGTGCCTGGGCCAAAGCCCTCCCCTCATTCACACCAGTTTCCCTACAGTGGGAGAGAAGGAAGGCACCAGCCCTTAACTGTCCTAACAGATGCCACGAGACCATGGACTCTTGTTGAGGGAAGCAGAATTTAATGGCCCTAGATCCATTTTCTGGAGGGCCTCTGGTTTTATTCTCGATATGATTGATCTATGATTTTTTTCAATTACTGGAAATTGTTTTAAAATAAAAGATTAAGAAATTCAGAAAAGAAATTTGTTATTTTTTCTTCTGAGAACTCTGTTTATACCCTTCTACCCTGTGAACACTTGGAAGCGCACCTAGGTCTTTTTAGGTGTTTCTCTTCACTTGTATACTGGGTATCAGAGCAGTGAGCTCCCAGAGCTGTGGGAACATCAGGAGGCAGTGCACACACCATAAACTTAGAGGAAACAGAGAGAGCATTGTAACTATGAAGCTGAGACAGTGTTGTTAGTAGCAGTGCCCACAGTTTATAGTGTCTCCAGCCAGCAGCTCGTCCGTTCCCTCCTTCATGCTGCACTGTACTTTGATCTACGTGCAATTACAATTCCATTTTAGTAGGTTTCATATCCATACACTCACACAGTTATGAATCGATTAAAAAATTGTCTCTGTGAACAGCTAATATTAATTTAACTCTAATATTGTATTTGTTTCTTAAATAATAATGCACCAAAAACTTGTAGTATTCCCATTATATTCGCTATTACAAATTATCCCTTACAGTCTAGGGATGATTGAAGGCACAGAGATCCTGTTAATTTTGTGCCTTTCCTCTGCCACTTTTTGTAAAGGATTTGAACAAGAGTAGATTTGGTGTTTGTGGGTACCCTGGGACCAGTCACCCACAGATATCACAGGCTGTAGTGTATTTAAGGGTAAAGTTTCAATTTTTTTGATTTGGGGTTATACTTTAATCATTTTTTAAAATTATATTATCTTGTACATTCAGTCTTAATTCCTATTATTCTGACTATGTTTTAAGAATATGGTTCAACAAATTATGATATTTATTGTGTTTTGAATAGTTTTCATATATTTTAGCATTGGGAAATATTTATTTTTTATAATAAAGTGATTAAATTAAAAATATTGTCATGGAAACATTGTATTTAAGGGAGAGTTTTATATGTTCGTTTTTACTTTTGGTCTTTTGGTTCCAGCATATTGTCCTTTTTGGTTTTGTTTTATTGCTTTTTTCTTTAATTTTGCTTACCAGAGCCAAAGCCTTAGTAGAAGAACATCGCCTTTTGTTCCTAGGGTTCAGGTAAAGGCTTTGTCTGCCTGATAGAAGCTAAAGTGTGTTTTATCCCTTATTTGTATGTTTTTGGAAAATGCGTAGTAGGAACACTTTTTTTGGTATGTTGCTCCAAATCATACTATTGACTCTCAAATCATTTTCTAAGACAGCTTGTAAAATTCTGCATGGAGATTAGAATATTGAATACAAATTTAAAGAGACAATCATTGTTAGTGATTTTACAGTTATTGCAGTACTCAATTGCATACGTTTCAAAGTTGCATTCCAATTGTGTTTTGGTGTAGATTTGGCTTATTTCTGTAACATTTACTGAAATAGCTAATTTTAAAACTCTGGATATTTTCCTTTACTACACAAAGGTTGCTGTCTCTTTAAATCCCTCATATACCACGTCACATCCACATTCTCTTGCATTTTCCAAGCAATGGCTCCTTGAGGAGATTGGCAAATATATTTGTACCTTATTTAAAATACGATTTTTTTTAAAACATTTGATATATAAGAATTAACTTTTGGAATTTGAAAGAGCAAAAAAATTCACAATCCAAATGATGTGTATATGTTATTTTGTTTGTATTTCATCATTTAATTTCCTTTTATGTACTACTTGGGTACAAGCTGTTTGCCTCTTTCCATTAGGATGTTGTTTATATGGTATAGCAATGCCAAATAGTTATCTTCAAAGTAGTAGTATGCCTTCCCTGCTTTGTTGCATGTTTTTAAAAAGAATGGTGGCTTTGGATAATAATTTTAAATAATTAAAATATTAATTCCATTAGATATCATATAATATAAAATATGTTTGATGCTAAATTTCTATTGTGAAGAGTTTAAATTGGTTAAATGCTGAAGCTGAGAGGATAGTCATATTAAACAATAAAATAGTACCAAGATTTTTATAAAATGATTTAACTAAGACTTGTCAAGGATAGAATGATGAGGTATTTTTTGTATTTTAGGGAACAAATAATTTAAGTTTTAAATACTATTTTTAAAATACTGCTTTAAGAATATGTTAAATATCATGGATAATAAAATATCTATTAAAAACCCCAGTAATGTAATGAAAACTCCACTCTGTAATGAAACTGAAAGTCAGGGCTGTTTGTAAGTGCCCAGCTCAAGACAATTTCAGAAACAGGCCGATTTTGATCCGATGTAATGGGATAGGTTCTTATCAAATAGTGGTAATACTCATATTTTTGAACAGTATAATTTAGTTAACAGTACTGTACAATAAAGCTAATGTATGTTTATGTAAGAAAGAGTGGTAAGGGATAGTGGTTAGCTCTATATTATCTGAAGATAATAGTTTATGGAAAAAATTAAACTTGTCAGAGTTGCTGTCGTTGGTGATAGTGGAGACTACATAAATTAATCCGACCTTCGTCACAGGTTTTAGAAGACTCTGAGACTTTCGACATTACCTTCATCCCACGAAAAATCAAACATTCTAATTTCTTTATTTTTATCTCTTGGCTTTTGTGAAAAGAATAGCTTATTCTCTCTATCTTGTTATCCTTATCTATATCTGTAGCCTAGTATTGCTCAGCATATGAATTTAAAAGTTTTTTTTTCTTTTCAAACGTTGAGTCAGTCCCCAGCCCCTCCCTCTTCAGTCTGTGGTTGTTTTTCTCCTCGTTTGAGACAGGCTTTGCTCTTAGCTCAGATTAGCCGCGGTCTGTAGGTTTGCCAGCCCCCCTCCTGTGCTGTCTGTCACCATGCCTAGCCACTAAACCTGTTTTCCTTTGAGGGGCAGTGGTGGTCCTCGATCCTTTGAGTGAATGCTGCAATTCTTAAAATTCTAAGATCCCATTTTAGTTTGTAGGAGAATAGCCAGCCTAGAAATGCATAACTTTCTAATATGCCAGATAAGAGTACTTTCCAGATATTTATTAAATGCAGCTTAAGGCAATCTTCTTGAGGGTCTATTTTTGAACTTCTTAGTTGGTAGAAAAATTTCGTTATACAATAGCAAGATAAAACTATTTTAAAATTCAAGACAATAGACCATGAAAACTACTAATACTTACTTTTAAAATTTGAATATCTTTTGTTAAATATCCTGTAAGGGGCTCATCCATTTTAACCCTGACAGGGCAAGAGCAGAAGCAATTTTGTATCTTAGGCTGTCCATCCGCCTCTTCTGACTCAGCAGCGAGTCAGCCTGTGGCTCTCTGGAATATATACAGAGGGACCCGCCAAAACCACCTTGGAGTTGGAGCTGAACTGCTGAGCTTCATGTATTACCAAGACATGTAATTGTCAAGTTCCATATTTTTGGTCCTATTTCAATTTTAAGCTGGAGGTAGGAGATGCTGAACCCTAGGTAATGTGGATCTCTGATGCAGATGAAGACAGAAAGCTCGGTGAGTGAGGAGTGAAGGGGTGAGGTGCAGGGAGATGGCAGCTCTTAAGAGAGCCAGGAGCAGCATGGCTAGACGTCACAACCCCAACATTTAATTACAAAGTGAAACTTTATTATTTTAAGGATGTTATGTGTTTTCTTCACTGAAGAAGGAACTATGCCTCTAAAATCTTTAAAAGTTGAATTTATTATCATTTCAAACACAAACTTGAGGAATCTATTAGAGCTACAAGTAAGCCCTCTTCTATCCTTTGAGATGTGTTTTACTAAGGAGACACAAAACATTTGCTTGTAACCTCCCTCTGAATAAATACCTTTTCCTTGTTTCTGTCCACACACTGCATTTGGGACACCCATTTACAACTCAAGGTGAACAAAACGATAGTGCTTCTTGCACAAAGATAGAGTTAAGAGTTATTGTGTACAAAGTATGTAATCCAGTAGTATAATTATTATATGACCATTAATAAGCCATTGCATCCAGATAGTAAAAGTCCAAGTGATCATCAACGAAACTAAAACATCAGCATCAGTCCATCTGTTCACTGAGTTATTATAGGATATCCTGTTATTTTAACACATCACATTTTACTGGGGAAAATGTTTTCTCTTAACATTTCAGTTATATCAGTATTAGAGAATGCTATAAAGATTGGAAATGTAGACATGTATTGGAAGTAAATTTTGAGCTAATAATGAATGCTTTTGCTTTTCAGATAAAACTATGGTTTGACAAGGTTGGTCACCAGTTGATAGTCACCATTCTGGGTGCAAAGGATCTCCCTTCCAGAGAAGATGGGAGGCCACGGAATCCTTATGTTAAAATTTACTTTCTTCCAGACAGAAGGTAGGGATTTGAAATTAAAACATATATGCTCCTAAAAATAAGCGGGGAAGTAAAGAATGTTTCAGTCCTGTGTCATTCAGTATTTCACATCATGGCAGTTGGATAGCTGTGAAATTTTAAAACTATAATCGTTCTGATGAATCAAAAATTGACAGTAAGTATTTGAGATTATTTTAAAACATGGGTTTACTATATATGATTTTATTTAAATATTTAGTTTAAGCCATCTGCCTATTGTATTTATTAAGTAATATATTTCTATGTCAAAATTATTAAAATTTATTTTTTAAAATACAAATTTTAGTAGGTTGTGTAGTAAACAAAGTTGGAACTGAAACGGCTTGTACTCATATTCTTCTCCACTTTTTACATCCACACCTCTTGACCTGAGGAGGGGTCACCATTTGGTGGGTTTTCTTGGAAGTGGAGTCTGGATTGCAGCCACTCCCAGGGGAAGGGGCTCAGAACTTTTCACCAAACATTCCAGACTCCTTATATACATGGATGCCAGGGGGGCTGGGGTGATACTTCCAACCAAACAAAAGGTTTACAGAATATAAGGGGTTAAAACATCTGCATGAAATCTTTCCAAGGAGGAAAGGCTCAAAAGCTCTATATCCGCCACCATAAACACCAGATTTCCAGTGTTTGAGCATCATTTGAGCAGTGTTAGCCAGGAAAAAGGGATGTGAGCAGGTGATCAGCAATTGCACTTTACTTGATACATGTTGAAATTGTTTACAAATTTCACAATATGTTAAGATTTCACTATATTTAAAGTATGGGAAACTTCTTCATCAATTTTTCTTTTAAAATTAACTTGAAAAAAGGTGTTGTTTCTGAAGATTTGGATTTTTTTTTTTTGCCCAGAGATGCATATTAAAATGTAAGGAAGAAAAAAATTAACCATATTGGAGTGGTCAGATAGAACCTAAATTTCAGCTGAACAATATATATCACAGCAAATCATCCACTACCCTGGCAGCTTCTCCTTTAGCACACAGTAGTTTGTTAGCATCAAAATCCATGGGAGGGATCGACACAGACCCACGGCCAATATGGCACTCAGCTCGGCCTTATTCTCAAGCTACTTAGGTTTCAGCAATTCATACTCTTAAAGAAAATGTTTATTGTATTTTTATTTTAAAATTACATCATTGTTTATTTGTACGTGTGTTTGTGTGTGTGTGTGTATCTGTGTTCATGTGTGTGGTTTGTGCACGTTCTAAAGCCCTCGTGTGAAAGTCAGACAATCTGTGATGATCAGTACTCTCCCTCTCCCATAGGCCCTGGCGATCGACTCTGGTTGTCAGACATGGGGAGCAGCGCGTGCCATACCCGGCTAAGCTGTACTTCCCCACGTGTAATTATTATGGCACTGAAAGTTTACCACGTCTTTTTCTTTTTTCTTTCTTTTTTTTTCTTTTTTCTTTTTTGGTTTTTTGAGACAGGGTTTCTTTGTAACTTTGGTGCCTGTCCCAGAACTAGCTCTTGTAGACCAGGCTGGCCTCGAACTCCCAGAGATCCACCTGCCTCTGCCTCCCGAGTTATTTAGTTTTGTATGACTTTTCCCAATTTTCCTTGCTTTTTGACACAGTGGGGTTAAAATAAAAACATCTCTCCTTACCTTGCCCTTTGTATCCCAAGTACAGTATGTCTTAGGGTTTCTTTTGCTGTGAAGAGACAGAATAATCCCAGCAACTCCTATAAAGGAAAACATTGAATTGAGGGAACTCGCTTACAGTTTCAGAGGTTCAGCGGTTCAGAGGTTTCAGAGGTTCATCTTGGTGGGGAGCCTGGCAGCATGCAGGCAGACATGGTGCTAGAGCTGAGAGTCCTACATCTTGACTCAGAGGCAGCAAGAAGTTGACTGTCACACTGAGAGAAGCTTGAGCAGAAGAGACCTCACAGCCCTCCCCCACAGTGACACACTTCCTCCATCAAGGCCACACCTCCTAATAGTGTAGCTCACTTTGGAGTCCACATGTTTTTCAAATCCCCAGATAGTACTAAACTTTCTTTTTGTAACCTCAAAGAATGTAAGAGCTCTCTGAACTTTTTATTCAGGTCGTTTCTCAGCCACTTTACTTGTCCAATACCAAGATTCATGTGCTTTTCAAGCTTACGGTTGGATGGGTTGTTCTGGGATTTTACCTCTAATAAAAAAAATAATTTTATATACTCAGAAAGTTGCATTATCATGCTGGCTTTTTTTCTCTTTTCCTTTGACCCATTTTTTATCCATGAATATGACAATTCATTTATTTTTTCCTGAAAAATTTTTCAGGAAGAAATCTTGAATATATAAAATAACAATTGATATTTAGTTTAAGATTTCCCAGAATGTCCATGAGATATAGAAGATATATCTGCTCTAAAATCCCAATTATGTTAGTCAGAAAACTACTTTCTATTTAATGTTCCATGTTCTATAAAAGTAATATTTTGAAGTAAAGTTGGTTATGACCACAAATATATTTAATCCTTTTTTTTAAAATTTGGATGCAAATGTCAAGTTTATGATTGTTACTTTAAGTTAAAATGAAGGCAAAATCCTAGCATTAAAATAAAGTTTTTATTATATTTTTTGAGCACATCTTTATTGTATTCTCAATAATGTAGAGATTAAAGATTTATTTTAGCTATCTATTTAAAATATACCCCCATAGATTAGTCTTTATTAAATACAGTTCTTCCCTTTGTACTTTTTGACTTCAACTCTATGACGCACTTTCAGGGCTTCATTTACACTTTTAAGAAAATCAAAGCCCATTTCTCTACTTTGTTGAAAATAAGGTTTTTATCACAGTTCATTTGGAGGAGGAGGTGGTGCTGGCAGAGAATCTGCTGTGTGTGCTGTGTTTTGAGGGACTTGAGGAAGCATTCCTTCTTTGCTCTTAGTTATGTGAGAGCTTGGTTCTTTCTCTCTTCCCTTAAGCTTAAGACTTATTCTCCCAGCCTTCTTCTGGTTCAGTTCTAATTACCCATTAGTCCATCATTAATTTTTTATTTTAGTATATTTTAGTGCTGCTAATGTCATAATGATATTATAATACATGTTTGTAATTTATAAATGTAATTTATAATAAATGCATTTAATGAGTGACATAGTTTAAAAATATTTTCTAACTCAAGCTAGTCCATCAAAGTAAGTCCTCCTAGTGCTAGGTCCAGTCCGTCAAGATGATTGGCTCCTGTTTCCGTCACATATTACTCTGGCTTACTTGTCTTTAAAGACTTGCTTTTGTTTTTGTCAAATAAACTAATACCATTTCTTATTTGAGATAGAGTTACTTCATAAAATATGTACTATGATTGCTTGTTAGCTAAGCTAAGCTATTTGTATATGAAGTAAACATTGCTATGTTTTTTTTTTTTTACAATTAAACTTTGTAGCTTAACTGAATAGAAGGTTTTTGTGCTGGTGCTCATACTAAGTTACAGAGATGATGTGATTGTATCATAATCTAACTATAAAAGTTTACATTAACTGTCAGACAACAAATATGTGAATTCACTTAAGTAATTTTAAATGGATAGAATTTAGAGCGAAATCTTTTTATGTAAGCATGCATAATTTCTTTTTGTTAAAATAGTGATAAAAACAAGAGAAGAACAAAGACAGTGAAGAAAACACTAGAACCCAAATGGAACCAGACCTTCATTTACTCTCCTGTCCACCGAAGAGAGTTCCGGGAGCGAATGCTGGAGATTACCCTTTGGGATCAAGCTAGGGTTCGGGAAGAAGAGAGTGAATTCTTAGGAGAGGTACCTGGAAGTAGTTAAAGTTGAACCTTCTCGGACCATTCTGTTGTTAAAGGACTGTCACTGGAATACTTAGAAATTTAAATGTCTGAAAAATATATGCATAGTTTATTTATTTATTAGCAGAATGAATTAGCTGCCTTAAGATAAACCTTAGCAACACTAAAGAAAACAATGTTCTTAAAACTCTTAGTAAAACTGGATGTGTAAGTGATACTGTATGCCTGTAATCCCAGCTACCAGGAAACTGATACATTTGATTCAGGAATTCAAGTACAGTGTGGGCATCACAGTGAGGCTCTGTCTCAAACCAAAACCAATAGCAAAACCAATAAAGAAAACCCCATTAACATAAGCAGCATGGGGAATCTCAGTATGATGACAAAGGTTTGATTTACACTTGATAGAGTTATTGTCTCATATAGTGTTTTCTGCTTCTTGTTATTTTATTGGGCCAATTATTCATTTATTCATGGAATATTCTGTAAGCCATATAAGAATCAGACAGTCTTCCACAGGCCTACCTCAGGAGTATAGAGCTCACTGTGGATTCAGATATTGCTGTGATATTGAATATGTAGTAGAAATACTGAAACAGCCAAAGGAAGCGCCAATAAAGAATAGAAGTTAGCTTAGTCACGAAAGTGAGATTTCTGCAGGGAGTAGCACAGCCTCGGGTTGGCGGAGTTTAGGTCCCTGCCTCAAATTGGCTGAGGAAGTGATAAGAAATGAAACCTCAAGGCTAAAAGGACACAGAACATATTCCCAATATTAATCCCCTGACTAATGAAGACAAAGATTGCCTAAATTGTGAGTTGAGAAAAATATTTCCAGTTGTAATGTGGAGAGCAAATTCCAGAGGCATAAGAGAAGTGACTTCCTAGCCATTCACATGTCATGTAACAGTGAGAACAGTTCTTCGCTTCCATTTGTTTATTCTACCTAGTTTTCCTGATTAGATGAAAGGAAGGACATAGAAATAGGAACTGAATTATGTCACCTAGAGAGTTACTAACCTTGCCAGGCAGTGGTGGTACAGGCCTTTAATCCGGAGGCAGAGGCAGAGGCAGGCCAATCTGCAGAGCTAACCTGATCCGCACAGCTAGTTCAGGAAGAACCAGAGCTACACAGAAACCTCGTCTCGAAACAAACACACATAGAGTTACAAAGCTATGAATGATTTTGAGAGAAGAGCCATACAGTTCTGAAGAACAATGGGCCTTGACTGTTTCTGGCACAATCACTTCCTTGTCCTCTGTTCAACAAATCGATCTTCACCTGCTTCAGTTTTCTGTTTGGCCCCGTGTAAATAATGCCAGTATGCAGTTCCCGTCTAGAAGGGGCGTTAAGTAAGGCTATAAGGCTTGTGTGTATTGCCTTGTGTAGCATAGCGCCTCTGCTATTGGATGTACAGGGCACATGTAGACACAGTGAAGTAACAGCTTGCTTGGTTGCCTGTAGCTCAGTATCACTGTGACTTAGCAGTTTATCTTCACACGGTAGATCCACTTCATGTGCGTGAAGACTCACTTGTAGCATGAACAACAAACCCACTCACTCTTGCAGAGCCCCAGGAAGGAAAACTAACCCGTTTATACAGACTGTTTATTTTATAATTAAAAAATTTGTATTACATCATCATGTCATACGGTATATGTTAAGCATCCTTTCTTGACTTTTCCTGTTTCTTTCTGAATGACATATAGCAGCTGTACATTATTAGGGCACTGGTGGTGTGATGTGTTGGTTTTGAATTGTCCGCAGTACGGTTCAGTGTACATCAAGGCTTAAGGAAGACAACGAGAGTATCTGACCCCAGAGAGAGGTCATTTTAGCCTTTTGTAGCTTTGGCAATCTGTCCTATAATACAAAGATAGTCATTTTTTATACATAATAAAGATCAATAATGTGACACGGTTGGTTATTAATAGATACTTTAAGTTAATTATTTTTCCTCATTGATTAATATGAAGTTATTTTTCTACTAGTAACTATAAATGGAAATGCTCTTGAGTTAGAAAATAAAATATAAACATTAGTTTTCATAGACATTTTAAAAGTAAAAAAATGCTACTCATGTCATGGCAAAATTGATATCCTCTTAATGGGATGATCAATAGATGGGAATATACAATAGATGTCACCATTAAAGTAGAAAATCACTACAAAGTTTGGAAGGAAAAGTATTTCTCATTTAGTTACTGTCAAAACACACTGACAATTTGGCACTGTTGAATGTCCTTGTTTTGTTGAGACAGCATCATTGTAATAAAATTGTAAAAGTTACAACACTACTGAGGAGAAGTCTTCACCATTGGGAGACGAGGTCTTTGTGTCTTCGGTCTGTAGATTCTGATAGAACTGGAAACCGCGCTGCTGGATGACGAACCACACTGGTACAAACTCCAGACCCACGACGTCTCTTCACTGCCCCTCCCTCACCCTTCTCCATATTTGCCACGAAGACAGCTCCATGGGGAGAGCCCGACACGCAGGTTACAAAGTAAGTTTGCAAACTTTATCATGCTTGCGGTGACTTTTTCTATCATGATTGTATATCTGACAGAATTTGAAAACAGCATTATAGGTGCTAATAGGCATTGGTTAGTGTTTTTATGGCTACTATTGATGCTTTTATAATAATTTAAACAGTAATATTAATCATGTCTATAGCATTCACATTCACAATATTAAAATCATTTTGGTTGCATATTATATGCTATAACATCAAATAAATACGACTTTTGGGGTATTAGTATTTAAACTCTTAAATGTAGGAATGAGAGCTAACATTAGCTCCCATTAATAGGTAGCTGCAGATACCTAAAAATATCACAGTTTATGAATACATAAAATGATGGCTTTGACATAGTGGCTGAAATTATGTTTCACATCTTGAATTGATTTTTTTCCATTTTATAAGTTAATGACTTGAGGCAGATGATCTCTCTATGCTTAGATTTTCTCCTTTGTCAAATGGAAATGACATTACTTACCCCATGGTATGGTCATAAGGGCTTTTTAATTTTAGAGGATGGAGAGCTTGCTCTGCCTGTAAAACACTGTGCAAATGTAGGACGTGATTTGAAATTCCTGGAAACCTCTTCAGCAGCTGGTGCATATCTGTAGGCACAGCTTCCCGCTCCATGAAAGCCAAGACAGGCTTGTGAGCCCTGAGGTTCACTGCGCAGCCAACCAAGCCCTACTGCTGAGCACCAAATTCAGTGAAAGACCATGTCTCAGAGAGGAGTGCAGATAGATTTCTGGTCTCCACACGCATGCACACATTGCCTTTGTAGCCATGTGTGGGTAAACATGTGCATACAAACATAGCACACACATGCATACACACATACACATACCCACACACAGGATTGATTAATTTTAAAACAATCCAGTGTGTTCTTTTTCTAACTACTAGCAATTGTGTTAGGCCCTTTTACATTAGTTTTGCACAGTTTAATAGTGTTTTCCAGATTTAAAAATGCTACTACTAACTTTTGTACCACCACTTAAAGTGCTTAACATTAGTTTGACATCTTCTGACAAAGGGATGAGGGATAGATAGAGGGATGAGGTGAATGCTTGCTGCTCTGTTATTTATGAAGTGTTTTCTTTTTGTGTGGTCACCAGGGTTCTGGTCTACCATCATTTCTGTGTAGTTACTCAGGCTCTGGTTACCATCATTTCTGTGTGGTCACCAGGGTTCTGGTCTACCATCATTTCTGTGTGGTCACCCAGGTTCTGGTCTACCATCATTTCTGTGTGGTCACCAGGGTTCTGGTCTACCATCATTTCCGTGTGGTCACTCGGGCCCTGGCTTAGCATCACCTCTGTCAGGTGCTGGATCATTGGCATCAGTGAGATGTCAGACGTGTCCAATCATGAGAAAATACCATGACGTTACTTGTTGACTGTGAGAAACATTCCTGGCAGTAGCGACTGTTTCTCATGGATCCTTTCTGCTGAAGGTGGCCACATTAGAAATCTGAAAGCTGTTGTATAAAATTAAAAGATTAGTCCTCTGAAAGTCACAGGAAAACCCAGGCAATCATTATTATTCTTTTAAAAAAAATGATTCTCTAATCATCAGAATTTTATTTCCATTAAGCACTATACCAGATAAAATTAATTAAAAATAACTTCTAATATTCTTTTTAACCTCATGAGACCATATACATTTATACATCCCCATTTGTAAATGTTATTATAACTTACTCTGTTGGAATAATTACAATATTATTCACAATGAACTTGTCTATTCTTTCTGGTCACTATTTTTAGTATATTCCTAAATTCCAGAATAATGGTTAGTAATTCGGTTCATTGTGCACTAATTACTATAATGTATGCATACAGGCTGCTGATGTCAGCCAGTGCTCTTACACCACTGGAGAACCTCCATCGGCTTCAGTTGTCTGTAGTTATGGGTAGGTTTGAAGCCTTAAACCCCTCTGTGTTCATGCCCCTATCCAAGCTCTACAGCAGTTTTCCTTGTGTCCTTTTTGAAAAACTTCTGGTAATTTATTTAAATTTCTTATTTGAATGAACATATTTCATATGTTTCTCATTTTTAGTTTGATGTATTTTGCTCTTTTGTTTTTAAAATATTTATTGCTTTAATTGCATCAGCATTAAGTACCTGTCATACTTCTTGGGCTTGATAGTGTGACTGGCCCAAGACACACCTTTTAGATAGGAAGTGTAACTCTTTCACCAACGTGATATGATATACACTGTTTAAAAAATTATATCTAAGGCAATGTTGAGATACCTTTAAAGAGCTTCTTCCTAGAGGTTTTAGGAAGCCTAGGAAAGGATTCATTCAGAAGTTGCTCTCCATATTTTATCCACATTGGCTTCACTACCATGTCCCAGGGTCCAGTGGCTAGTTCCCTAAGCCATGTCTCGGCATGCTAATCCTCCTAAAGCCACTTGCCCTGGTGCTTATGCCATAGGCATAGCACATTTGGAGTTACTTAGGGTGATGATATAGTATTGATGGACTCTAGAACTTTCCAGAGACTGAGTCTTTGTTATTCACAGAACATTTTCACCCTCCTCTTCACTCGCAGCAGGGAACTGTCCCACCTGATGCCTGCAGTCTGCCTTCCTCCAGGGCACACTCTTTCCTTCTGCTCCTCCCAGGGCAGCCTCAGCCCCTACAGTGTTGACTTCAGCATGGCAGTAAGCTAGGGTCTGCAAGCTTTGAAAGACATACCCTTAATTCAGAGAAGCCACAGGGACTTAGGGACTTTTTTTATATGGTGGGAGACAGGGCACACATCTTTAATCCCAGCACTTGGAGGCAGAGGCAGGAGGATCTCTGTTGAAATAAGAGCGGCGGGGCTGCATCCCCATGCCCGAAATAACAACACGCAAACTGTATTCATTTAAGAACTGCTTGGCCCATGAGCTCTAGCCCTTACAGGCCAATTCTCGCACCTGGACTAGCCCATTTCTAATGATGTGTGTAAGCACCCCAAGGTGCGCTTACCGGGAAGATTCTAGCCTAAGTCCATCGTGGGTTGCAGCTGCCTGGGAGAGCTGAGCATGGCGTCTCTGCTCCAGCAGAGCTGTCGGGTCTCTCCGGGAGCAGAGCAGAGTCTGACCTCACTTCCTCTTCCGCCCAGAATTCTATTCTGTTTACTCCTCCCATCTATGTTCCAAGCCATGAGGCCAAGCAGCTGGTTTATTATAACTTAACCAATGAAATCAACAGATTGATATATGACACTCCCACATCAGATCTCTGTAAGTTTTAGGCCAGCCTGTTCTACAGGGGGAATTCCAGGACAGGTAGGGCTAGACAGAGAAATCCTGTCTCAAAACAAACAAACAAAAAGCAATAAAACCCTCAAAACAAACAACAAAAAGTAACCAAATGGTTCCTTGTACTCACTTTTTAATCTGTTCCCACGGTACTCCAAATACTGTAGCCAGAAAAGAAGTTCTGTTTTGTTCTTCAAAGTATCTTATATAATTGATCTACTGTGTAGGTTTCCAACAAAACAGATCAGTCCTGTGAAAATCTGGCAAATTAATTTATTTCCTCATTTGCTACCTTTAGAATTATCATTACATTTTTCAAACTTTACTTCAATGTTAGAAAATAAGCCTCCTTAGTAACTGTGCTGCAGTGTTACATTCTCCCCATAAGAAATGTCAGTTGTATTATAGAGAAAAAAATTGTATGCTTTTTCTTTTTGATGATTTCCACACATTTTTAAAATGATCTGTTTAAGTGACTGTATCCTTAAGATTTTGAATGCTTGCCTTTTCTTAAAAGGAGGTCAGCTTTAAACTTGCCATTTTTAAAACCTAGAATTCCAAAATGAGGAATACATTTCCTTTTGTTTCGGTTCCCTGGTTGCTTGCTGCTCCGTGTCCAGCAGTTATCAGCTGCATTTAGGATTCTGTCACAGAACTGTGGTCCCCACCGGCGCGCTGTCGGGCAGCTGTCATGAGTGTCTGATTTGGTCTATCTCCTTTAGTTTTCGCTCCTGTCGCAATACTTTAATTTAGTCAGAATTTCTATAAACTTAATTTAAATTTTTATTCATATATAATGAGTTTCTATCTTATTCTGAATTGGTATGGTATTTTACACTTTGAATACGTTGAATTTTATTGTCTGCAGTATTAAGTAGAGATGAGATTTCCACAGATTTAGCAGTAGCAATATCAGTTGTATTTTTGACATTGCCTCCACATTGTTTTCCAGATAAAGCCTTGTGTTCATGTAATTCAGGTAAACACAGTGTGTGTAGTGTTGAATGCATGTGTTCGTATGCACAGTGTAGTTTACTTTGTTGTTCTGTGTTTTGTTTGGCTGCTGTGCATATATTAAATCCTAGCTAACGTGTCAACGGCATTTCCTTACTGCCTACGGAAAATTTCTAGTACCTTCATGTTTATTATTTTTACACTAAAACTTGTTTTTTAAAACAGATTTTTATTTCTAAATTTGTGTCTAAATTATATCCTTTAGTATAGTATTATTTCATCAATAAAGTACATTTAGTGTATTTTGTTATATATGGCTTCATAAAACTTAATTTAAATGGATATATTTAGAAATTTTCATTTCTTTTTATTTTTTTTTTTTGTGTGTAGGTGTGTGTATGCCATTGTTGTGTGTGAAGGTCTCAGGACAGCTTGTGAGAATCAGAACCCAACTTCATCGTTGGTTCAATAATCACCTTGTCAGACTTGGTGACAAGTGCCTTTATCATTGAGCCATCTTGCTGGCCCAAAGTGGATGTAATTTTAAATGTCTTGTTTTGCTTATGAGTGGCTGGTGTTAAAAACATGAAGCATTTTTTAATTAAAATGCACATGAGCTATCTTTGCTCATGATCTGTGGTAGCCTGCTCTATAACCCCAGCATTTAGGCCACAAAAATTGCACAGGAGTCCCAGGTCATCCTTGCGTGTGCACAGATGATGAAAGCAGCCTAAGCAGTATGCAGACCTATTTCCAAAGCCAAACAAACCAAAGCTACATTTGCTATAGCTATCATTTTTTTAGCAATTTTGTCATATAGTACAACATATTGTACTCAGGAGGTAAACTGTTAACTGTTCATTAAACTTATGCTGATTTTTAATAATGTCAATTGGAAAATATTTTAATATGCTTAAACCTAACAAAATTCCATATTTATACATACATATTATATAAACATACACATTTATCAGCAATGAACAAAGTAAAAACCTACATATATGATTGTCAATTATGTCAAAATAGAGAGTACTTAGGGATGAATTTGGTAAAAGTATACAATACTTAATGAAAACTTAAACACTGTTAAGAAAACAAATTAAGCAATATAAATAGAGAAATATATTGTGTGAATAGGTCAAAATATCAGTATTATGTCACTTCTTGCCATGCTGATCAATATAATAAAAAAATGCCAGCAGGCCTTTTTTATAAACTGAGACGTTATTCCAGATTTCATCTAAAAAATACAAGTCCATTGAAGAAGCATTCAAGTTTCAAGGTGTGAGTGCTCCAGTCTTTGTTTCACCATTTATACAATTGCAGTAATAGAAGTCTCTCAAGGAGAATGGCATGGCCTAGGGCAGACAGAGACAAGAACCCGGGGAAATACAGAGTACTTCTGACAGAATCTTGGCTATATTGCAAGTCCTCAGACATCTTGCTATCTCTGCTGTGGAAGCCTTTTGTGTTGAGTGCTCTCTGGCTTTCATTTTGAGCTATATAGGAAGGCATTTGTCTCCTAAAATAGTGCTCAGTGAGTGGTGTGTAGCAGTGATGAAAGACAAAAACGCATCAGTCTGAGAAACTGCAGCTCTGCCAAAGTAGAGGAAACCTTAGGCAGAGGTCCATTGCCTAGTGTGTCCATCCTGAGACACCGTAGTGCCGTCCTGAAAAATAAGTGTTGAGCATGCGTCCTTTCTGTGCAGGGTACATTTCGTGCTTAAGTGAGACATGTGTTCATCTTGAGACATTAAAATTCTGTTTTATTCAACTTAATGTCAGTTTTGCTATATTGAGGTTAACATTAACATTTCCAGAGATGGACCTTGGCAGAGGCAGGCAGATCTCTGAGAGAGAAAAGCCTGGCTGGTGAGTTCCAGGCCAGCCAAGGTTGTGGAGTGAGACCTTACCTCAAAGACAAGAACACAGAAGTTACTTTATGAAACTGTTCAGTTCTACAACTGATTCATGCTCTTGGGCCACCTCTTGGCAATCACACTGCACTACTAGCTCTTAGCTTTATGTAGGATTCATTTCTTGTCTTCTTGAACCAATGGATAAAACAGATAAAATAATGAGAAAGAAGGATGGATATTCTATGTGTCGTGCATCCATTTCTGTTTCTGAAATTCTCAATGACCGTGTGTAACAAAATTAGGCTTCAGAGTTCTTAGTTATCCATATTAAGAAGTGACATGCTAATGATTGGAAAACAACCTAATTGTGTTTTGAAATATACCTAGGTTTTGTGCCTTTGTTCCGAAGCATCTAATGTTAACAATTGTTTTTCAATAGACTTTAATTATATATTTCATGCTTAATATAGTTTCAGACCTTTACCCTTTTAGGAATTTTGTCTTACTTGCTTTTGAATAGTTGTGTTAATGTTGCCTCTTTGTGATTTGTTTTCTAACCTCATGAAATGCCCGTGAAAGCCGTGCTGGTGAGCACGTGGTAGCTCTCCTGCCCTCCTCTCTCTCTTCGGGTTTAAATCATAATACTTTCACTTACTTTTCAACTTCCGTATATTCCTTTTCTATTTTTTCTTTGGCCTGCCGTCAAGTTTACTGACTGCTGTCACTTGTTTGCAGGGTCGAAGAGAGTGAGTGACAGTGAGGTGTCCGACTACGACTGTGATGATGGCGTTGGGGTCGTGTCCGGTAAGAACGGCTTGTGCAGCGTTGTGAAGGGTAGTGCAGTTTGCCAGTGTTCATCCCTGAAATAAATAGAGACAAACACAAATTTGTCTCCCATATAAATAGTTAGGAGTGAACATGCTTTGTAGAAGCCAGCTCTGGGTAAGAAAATATTTATAAATTTTCTATTCCAAAACAATTAATAATAATACTTTTATGATAAATTGTATAATTTATCATATAATTGTATAATTGAAACTTCATATGTAATGTCTCCTTAATATTATGTAACAATTTATTCTAGTCTTCTTGTTTGATTTATAATTTGTTAGAATAAATAATCTAACAAATCTCATGATTATAGATAACTTTACTCAGGAAAAAATACAGGTTTTATCCATAAAACCTGCTATAACTACATCAGTGATTGCTGACTTTTTGCTAATTTTTTGTGTAGGGTCAGTATGCCATGGTCAGTAAAACCCTTTTATGTGCTCAGCTGCTGTGTTTCACCCTTGCTCTTTAGTAAGGATGCACAGTGCAGTAACTGCTAAGACTGCACGGGCTCCACGTCTCTCACACAGATTCCCCATCAGTGATTTCTCTGTGGATCTTTCTTCAGTATCGTTGCTGCCTTCTTCATGCTCAGATTCGTTTCCTTTTGTAGTTGATTTTACTCCTCCCTCTCAGGTATCTGCTGACTTCAGTGTTTTTTCACCTCACCAATTTTCTTCAGGTCTGAAATCAATTCATTCCAATGTCATTTTTAGGCATGTCTCTATTCTTTTATTTTTGCTGTCAAGATAAAAAAGTAATTAGTCATTTACTTGAATTAGTATTTTAAAATTTGGACTGATATGTTAAAATTAAAACTACATATTAATAAGGTAATATGTGGTGTTTTAATACCTATATAAATTTTTTTGTTTAAATTGATAAACATGTCTCCACATTTATCACTATATGTTGAATCTATTATTTTTTCGTGTTTTCTGTATTATACTGTTCATAGTTTTATATATAATGTATACATGCACATATATACATATATATTTAGTATGTATATATGTGATGTGTGCATGTATGTGTGTGTATGATAAAAAATGCTCCAATCAAAGAGGCAGCTTATGGAAAGAGGGCTTTTTATAGCTCACCAATCCAGTTTATGTACGTCGTTGTTAGTAAGAACTCAAAGCCTGGCGCACACCTTTAATCCCAGCACTTGGGAGGCAGAGGCAGGCGGATCTCGTGTGAGTTCGAGACCAGCCTGGTCTACAAGAGCTAGTTCCAGGACAGGCTCCAAAACCACAGAGAAACCCTGTCTCGAAAAACCAAAAAAAAAAAAAAAAAAAAAAAAAAAAAAAAAAAAAAAAAAAAAAAAAAAAAACTAGTAACTCTAGTCCTCCATACTCCTCCTCCCCTTCTCCATTCTTTTTTTTTTTAATACGAAAAAAAATTTCCCCCTCCTCCCACCCTTCTTACCCTCCCCCCACTTCCCTCCCCCTCCCTCTCCAGTCCGAGGAGCAGTCAGGGTTCCCTGCCCTGTGGGAAATCCAAGGTCCTCCCCCCTTCATCCTGGTCTAGGAAGGTGAGCATCCAAACTGGCTAGGCTCCCACAAAGCCAGAACATGTAGTAGGATCCAAACCCCGTGCCATTGTCCTTGGCTTCTCATCAGCCCTCATTGTCTGCCATGTTCAGAGAGTCCGGTTTTATCCCATGCATTTTCAGTCACAGTCCTGCTGGCCTTGGTGAGCTCACAATAGATCAGCCCCACTGTCTCAGTGGGTGGGTGCACCCTTCGTAGTCCTGACTTCGAGCTGACCTATTGGTTTCCCTTCTCCATTCTTACTCAATTCTCTATTCAGGGACGAGTGTCTCCCAAAGTGGAAGGATCTTCTCACCTCAGTTAAAGTAGTCAAGAAAATTCTATGCGACATAGCCATAGGCAGGCTCCAAGTAGGAGGGACGTTACTGAGACTGCCTTATCTGCTACATCAGCTTGACAGAGATCAGCACCAGTTTCACTCCGCTTGGCAATAACTTCAGAGGACTTTCAGGATTCCTCGCTCTCCACAAAATGCTGATGTTGAACCATTTTGGTTTTTCTGCAATGTGAAAGCAATTGTGTGTTGGGAGAAAATACAGATTTATTTATCTTTCACATTTGCCTCAGGATGCTTCATTCGAGAGTGTAAGGAAACTTTACACCACATGAAGATAGTGCTCACTTGCCAGGCAGTGGTGGCGCACGCCTTTAATCCCAGCACTGGGGAGGTAGAGTCAGGCGGATCTCCGAGAGTTTGAGTGCAGTCTGGTGTAGAGTGAGTTCCAGGACAGCCAGGATTACAAGAAGAAACCCTGTCTAGAAAAGACCAAAACCAAAGTTAACAAAATAAATAAATAAATAAATAAATAAATAAATAAAGATAGTGTTCACAGACCTAATGAATTTCCACTTGTCCATGTCTAGCTTCCTAAAGCAAAATGTTTTCTGGAGTTACTTGCAGGAAGATGGGTTATTCAATGATACAATTGAGCTCCATGGGTAATTTCTGGTCAGGTACGCCATTGAAGATTCTCAGCCCAATTAGTTGACACTCATGTATAATCTTAGTAAGGGAAAGACACCCCTTGAAGTCTCCTGAAGGCTCTGTGAGTTTCAGGACAGACACTGTCTCTCCCTCCAGAGGGAGCAGCTGGGGCAAGGCTAGAACCCTCTAAAGCCCACCTGCACCAACATGGCTTTTCCGGGAGTTTTGTCTTCTGCGTGTGCCACATCTTCCCCGCACAGTGCCACTAACTAGGGACAAATGACTGGAGGAAATCCCTCGTCCACGTGCAGCATTTGGCTCCTGGATCTATATCCCTTTGGTATATCATGATTTATATGCATTTAGTCTAACTTCAGAAATTCTCATAGTCTATAACAGTCTGAACACTGTCCAAAAGTCAAGAATCTAGCTTCTTTTTAGACAATGTAATGTCTTAAATGTGATACCTATGCTTCTAATATACACTAACAAGAATGTTACTGTTTTAAAAGGAACATATATATTATATGTGTGTGTGTATATTGTGTGTATATATATATATATATATACTTAAATGTGTGTGTGTGTGTGTGTATGTTGTGTTGGTTTTTTGAGATAGGGTTTCTCTGAGTTACTCATCTCCAGGGTTCTGCTAAAATGTTCTGTTAATGAGCTGTCTTTCTAACATCTAGCTTCATTTTCTTCTGTGTTGCAGGCCAGATGTTTCATCTCTTTGGGTTGATGACTGTCTTTGGCAGAGATCAGTTGACTGTCTTTATGTTGCCTTTTTTCTTCTTTGTTTCTTTATTTCTTATTTCTGCATTCCACTGTGTGCTTTATTCTCTGGTCATTACTGCAATGTTCCAACTGTTACAAATTTTAGTAAGTATGTAGTGTTTCTACAGTCGTCTCCAGACTGTGGTAATCAGGGCTGCTACATTCTCGACTGTTTGCTTCTCCACAAAAGCTTTCAAAGCAACTTATCAGTACCCACAAACCGTTAGAATGTCTATTAAACTGATTTCTTCATAATAATGAGTTTCTTGTTTTGTATCTCTCCCTTTATCATGTCCTTTCAATTTTATTATTCATTGTTGATGATTTCTTCATACATATCTACTTTATATTTTGTTAGATTGCTCTCAAGAATTTTTTTTATTAAGAGATACGCTATTATACTTGGTATTGGCTTTTTAGTTTCAAATTCCAACTTTCCTTGCTAGTTATAAGAAAGTGATTGATTAGTATTTTTCAGCCTTCTACTGTATGATTTCCTACAATCATCAGTTCCTGGAGATTATTGATTTGTTCCATCAATCATAGTTTAGCTATTGTGCTGAGATCACTGCTATCATTTGAACGGTTTGTTGAGCATCTGTTAGAGGGGTTTGTTTTCATTGCCATTGTTTTCTTATCCCTGTTTGTTTTCCTGCCTTTTTGGTTTTAACTGAGCATTTCTATGACTAATTTGGGTTTTTTTGAGAAAGGTTTTCTCTGTGTAGTTCTGGTTGTCCTAGAACTCAAGCTTGTTTATTTCTTAGCTTTAACTTTAAAAAATGTGCTTCCCATGTACTTGATCTAGAATGTGCGTGCGCGCGTGCACACACACACACACACACACACACACACATTTTAATCCACTTTCAAATAGTCCTTCACAGATTATGTAACTTACGACAACAAATTCCTTATACTTTTCTTTTTATATGCTTATCATTTGTTTACTTAAAAAGCATATGTAATCATGTGTGCATGTGTATGTTTTGTCTCCAAGCTTATGAAAGTGATTTTGCATATGGATAAACATGTGTGGACTTTTTTTCTTTATTTACCACAGTGTAACATGTGTGTATATGTACACAGAAATATACCCTTACTAGCTGCTGCCAATCTCGGTTGCTTAGAATTCTCAGCCATTCTTGCCTGAGGCAGTTTGTGTTTAGATAAATAGAATCTGTCTGCTACATAATTAAGTACCTTGCCTTTTCTCTTTCATAGTCCCAAACCAGTGTTTGTCTTTAAGAAATTAAAAAGTGTATTCCCTTTACGAAAACCACAGCAACTAATGCCAGAGTTTTCAGAGCGATTGGAATAAGCCTACAACCTACTGAGTTTAGTTTCTTCCCTTTCAAAATTTCCTCTTCTATTTCCTTGGGTGCTTCTTCAATTATTTACGTCTTAATCTTCTGAGCTGTCCCATGGCACCAGTCTAGTACTGCAGAACATCAGCTTACTGAGAAGAGACCGCAGAGGAATGAAATGGCTTCTCTGAGTTATGTCTGTTTCTAATCGTTTAAGATGGATGTGGACTGGGGATAACCTAGGGCCTTCTGCATGCAAAGCCCATGTGCTGCTTCTTAGTTACCCTCAGAGCTCCTGAACAATCTAGGGATGCACACTGCAGAAATGTGTTTTAGGGGGTGCACACTGCAGCAATGTGTTTTAGGGGTGCACACTGCAACAATGTGTTTTAGGGGTGCACACTGCAGCAATGTGTTTTAGGGGGTGCACACTGCAGTAATGGTTTTTACGGGGTGCACACTGCAGCAATGTGTTTTAGGGGTGCACACTGCAGCAATGCGTTTTAGGGGATGCACACTGCAGCAATGTGTTTTAGGAGGCCCCCATCAGATATCTTAGTGGCGACATGACCAACTCCTGACAGCTGCAGTGAGCATGGTGCAGATGGCCGCAGTGGCAGCAATGTCACATTCCCTGTTCATCCTTACTCACGCTTCTCCACTGCGTACGTACTCTACACATGTGCAGCTTCAGACAAACGGCATTGGCCTCTTTCCTTTCCCACGGCTTCTCCACATGGAACTGTTGATTTTCTGGAGTTCCAAGTTTCTGTGCCTCCTCATGTTAACTTCTGTGAGGACGGTGAGTCGCTAGGCTAGTCCTCTTCTTAGACAGTGAATGTTGTTTTCGGACTCCTGTGCTTTCTTAGCTCTGCCGCGTATTTCACAGCATTGAGTGTTAGGTAACGTGGTTAACCTTGTTTAACGTATAAGTGCAGATGATGAAGCATAGTATGAACTGTGAATATTAACAATATCCAAGAAACATTTAAGTTTATAGGGGTGAAATATTTTTAGGACAATCTTGATTCTGTTTTTTTTAAAGAGCTTAAAAATTTTCCTTATCCAATACAGTGAACACAGTGACTACCAAACACAACTCTCAGATAGAGACTACCGCGGTAACTATCACATAGGGACTGCCAATTTAACTAGCAGATAGTGACTACCACGGTAACTATCAGATAATAGTGACTACCACGGTAACTATCAGATAATAGTGACTACCGCAGTAACCGTCAAATGTCCCTCCCTTTTCATTTTTGTGCTTACAGTGTTTCAAACATTACTGTGTTTGTTATACTTGCAATTATCACATTAAAAGTATGTTAGGCTCACTAGTATTTTATGCTTCTTAGTGCAACACAAAGAATTGGTGTGCAGATGATTATTACTTCATCTTCTGCCCCTAGATTATCGTCACGATGCTCGAGACCTTCAAAGCTCCACATTATCAGTGCCAGAACAAGTGATGTCATCAAACCATTGTTCGCCATCAGGGTCTCCTCATCGAGTCGATGCTATCGGAAGGACTAGGTCATGGTCACCAAGTGTGCCCCCTCCACAAAGGTAAGTTAGTCTGTACATTTTGCTTATAGCTAGGTAGTTAGAGTGAATTTTGCCTAAATTACCATAGTAACCTCTAAAAATAAATTATCCTTTCAATCATCCTTTTAAGGAAAAACAAGACACCATTGCAGTGGGACTCAGAGGTGATATGGGATAGTTTGTTACCTGGCATGATTTGTGTATTATTTGCCCTAAGAGTTCAAAATAGTTAAGAAAAACTTTAAATAGCTTTAAATTGCATATAAATATTAAGAAGATTCATTTAGAACCAAATAATTATATTCATGAATGATATATTCATGAATGGTAAGTTGAAAAGTATTTTAAAAAATCTTTGAGAAACTAAAATAATGCATAAATAGTGAGAGAAATGTCATACCAATCTGTTGCTCTAGGTCTTATAATATTAGAATCTCTGACCAACCTAAGGACCAAAGCGCTACATGGAATGTAAACCACGGACATTAATGTATGTGATTTATACATGATAGAGAGTTCAGGAAACATACTAAATAGAAAATATGTATAATATACAAAGATATAATTTAATAGATATTAACTACATAGGACACTGTAAATATGTATTATATAAAATTTGCCTGTGTGTTTGTATATTCTTCTATATACAAGCACAACATTGCAGACTAATGGAAAAATGTAGTTTGGAAAGGCAGAAACCTCGTCCATCACCTAGAGTGAGGATTTTAGCTTTCATTCTATGTTTTCAAAGAACCACCACATTCAGAGTAGATGAGGGCAGGAGTTGGAAAGATGGCCATTGGACAGCTATAATTTAGTCACTCACAAAGGTGGTAGACTAGGCTGGCGTGCTGCCAGAGAGCATGGTTCCTACCACATAGGTACTGAGATTTGAACTCAGGTCCAACCATGCACAAGGCATCTTTCCCACACTTCCCACACTGTCTAGAATAGGCCACATTGAACCTATCTTCTCATAAATCTTTTCCTCTAGTGTGTATTATATCAGTGATTTTGATTACAGAGAATTGGGTTGCCCATCAGTAAGGTATGACATTGTTTAAGGATACTCTCTTATTGGGCTCTTAATGTATCTGTAAGATCAGCCAGATCTTCAATTAACTGTTAATCTCCCAATGAAATTTATTCCATCAGAGATACGAATAAACCAAAAACCAGATTTTATTATTATTTTGTGGGGGATGTGCTATAGATCAGTCAGGTGTTTAATTACCTTGCTGTCTTAGTAGGAACGTGGAGCAGGGGCTGCGAGGGACACGTGCTCCTGGTCATTACAATACGATTAGCCGGATGGACAGACACCGGGTGGTGGATGACCGTTATTCTCCAGACAGAGACAGGTGAGCGCAGTTAGCTCTCACTGAACTCTGCTGCCCTCAGGAAGGGTTATTACAAACATCTTACCTGGTCCTTTGTCTCATCTGAGATTCCAAACGCTGCCTTTTCTTTGCTCTTTCTACAGTTTTTCTTAAGATAGCCCTTTGTTTAGAAGGAAAGGTTAACAAGTGTAATTGTTCCTGGTAAGATAAGCACAACAGGATGAACCTGACTCTCTGGGTCACCTGAGCACCATAGCTGCCTGATAGCTTGCCTGAGCACCCTGGCTCTCCTGAGTACCAGGACTCAGGTTTAGAATCCCGGCACTTGGGATAGAGATCAGGAAAGTCACAACTAAGAGGTCCGCCAGTGCTACTTGACTAGTCTCTGTCAAGACAAGATTATATAAAAATAGCTAGCAAATTTGCATGAGACATTATAATGATAATCAGGATGTAAATATTTTTTACCTGCACATAGCAAATTATCGTGTGTAATATATATCCATAGGCCGATAGAGATCGAAGTCTTTAGCAGATTTCAGAGAAATAGTGTGCCTTTTCCTATACAGAAATCTTGAAACGGAGTCTAGTTTGTTTAGGAAACCTGTATTATAATTCTCCAAGAGATTTTCTCTCATGTCCCTTAGTAATGCTTTAACGTCTTAAAGAACTACACTTGCTGTAGTTGCAAGAATTCTCTGAATTTGCCCCCTTTAACTGTGACTAACTTGGGAATAACATGGTATGTTAAAATGGTTACATTAATTACTGCTAAATTTAAGAAAATTAATTAACTTTCTAATTCAGTTGGGTTATATATAAGAAATACCATTGGAATTTTTCAAACTCTCAAAACCGTTTAGGATAAGGGCATGATAAAGTCCACGCTAATATTGAGAAAATATGACATAATACATTCCTTGTCACTGAAGTCCACAGACATGACAAGTAACTGTCAGGATGTATAAAGAAATTGTTTGGTTTGAATAAAATTAATACTCAGTCCTTGCATGTAGTTCTCTTCTGTCCCCAAAGAAAACACACAGATATCTTCTACATTGATAGTGCCAAGAAAATACTGATTTTTGTGTGTAGGATCAAGGAAGAAGCCAAATAGTTCTTAAATTGATAGTTCTATTAGTGTCAGTTTCAAAACCATTTAACTTTGTTGCTTTTTAACTTCTTTAAGCCTTTCATGTAACTGGTCCCCTAGGGGTGGTTATGAGCGTCTGTCTGTCTGGAGACATGCTTATCAGCACAATCCTAGTGAAAGGGAGATCACCACGGTGGCTTGCCTCAGACTGGGAACGTGTCATAAAAAGCATCAATAGGTATTTTGGTTGCCTAATAAAATGTTAGTGAACTTTATTAGCTTTCAAATTATTTATATAGCTGTCACAAGCTTCTTAGCCACTGAAAATCTGCTTATTGAGGGAATAAAATTGTCTAAATGACTTTAAATTTCTTATAAGCTTACATAAAATTATCATTTAATGAAAAAATGTTCTCAATATGAAGCTCAAAAATATAGATGAATCCTAATAGAAAGTAATAGAATAAAATTGCAAAATAACTGTTTACTGTTATATTAAATTACTAATATTTTTCAGTATTTTATAGTACATATTACTAGGTTTAATGACCACAAACACAGGACCATTTGCCTTTAATATTTTTTAAAACCCAGATAATTAATTCCTATTTTATGTAGTCATTATGCTTTTCTTCTTTATGATTCTTATGAATCTTTTAGTATAGCAATAATATTCAAATGTTTATCTGTGGAAATTTTAAAGAAGATAGATAGATACATGTGATTTCTTCTCACTACATCACAGGATGTAGATGTGCAGATAATAGTCATTCTTTGTTGGGATCTATCTCAAGTCTTTTTAAAACTATGTAAAGTAAAATTTCATTTCAATAGACACAAACAGTAGAAAGCATTCCTAGTATTACTTTATCTGTGCAATTCATTAATACAAGAAGCAACATTCACTGAACAATGTTCTCTCTTAATGTCTATTCCTGTCTAATATTCTTGAGGATTTCCAGTCATCAGCTGCTTCTGAATGTCCATTATGTTTATGAATATCATTTTATAGACTTTTGAATCCATTCAGTTTAGTTGGGTTTGATACATGTCTGGGTGATTTATAAAGCCACTTTTGTGTGGTTCTGGGGAATTTCCAGGAGGTTGGATAAGAGAGGAAGACCTGCCTTGAATTTAGCATAGGTGGTTTCCCAGTAGGCTGTGAACCCAGCTAGCGGAGAGATAATGAGGGAACCCTGCTAGGATAGGCCTTCCTTCTCCGTCTTCTGGCTACCTTAGATGAACTGTTCTTGTTCACATCACCATCTCTGTCGTGGTGGATTAACATCTGGAACTGGTTCAAAATAAATTTTCATCTTTGAAATAAGTTTTATCCAGTGTTTTGTCATAGTGACCAAACTTTGCCCAACACGAGAATCAATCAGAGTGTATTGAAAGGCCAAGGACAGAGTTTTCCTTGTGTCAGTCATTAGTGTTTTAGTGTTAAAGGATGTGCACATCAGCCTCCTTATACAACCTAATTTGTTCAATTAGAAACTCATATAAGTGAATGTACACTTTTTTCATGGGGTGTGGAGCCAAGTGTTCTGTAGAATTTTAAGTATGTTTGGAGAAAACCAAGCATTTGATTTCTGTATCTATAAAATTTATTATGTAGAATTATATGAATTAACTGACTCTACCTCCAATGAGACTTTTATATTCCTTATCAGACAACCAGTTACTACAAAGTATAACACATAGCCATATTTTATCAGAAGTTTGTATTGTTAGTTGAGCAATGTAAATGGAGATTGCTCATTCATTTCCTAGTAACCCAGACCCAAATAATCACATAGAAACTATATTAATTCAACACTGTTTGACCAATAGCTTGAGCATATTTCTACCTAGCTCTGACATCTTAAATTAACCTAATTTCTATTAATCTGTGTTCCACCACGAGGTTGTGGCCTATTGGTAAGGTTCCTATGTTATTCTTCTTGGGCAGCTATGTGGCATCTCCCTGACTCCCGCCTCTCTCTCTCTCTCTCTCTCTCTCTCTCCGAATTTCCCACCTGTCTTTATTCTGCTAAGCCATTGGCNCTCTCTCTCTCTCTCTCTCTCTCTCTCTCCGAATTTCCCACCTGTCTTTATTCTGCTAAGCCATTGGCCAAAACAGCTTTCTTCATCAACCAATAAAAGCAGCACATTTACAGAAGGACATCCCACATGAGAGCAAGGCAGTGTGCATATTGTAATCATGGTCTTCACAGATAGTGCAGGAGGTTCAGGTGTTCAAGTTAGCTAGTTCAATGAGAGATTGAACTGTAGAAGATACTCTTAAAAAAAGAAAGAAAAATTTATGGTAGCTAATGAAAAAAATGTGCCATGCATATAACATTAAGAAAACATCGACTCTCAAATATTTTATAGTTAATGATTAACAATTAACCTGAAACAACAAAAAATGACAACAAACAAAGAAAAATTAAACGAATGAGGAATTAGTTGATTCAAGTATTGTGGCCAAGTATAGAAGACGGCACCTGAGTTGGGCTTTGTCACCAAGAGCAAACTTACAGAAACAAAATCATCTACATCATGGAGTTTGGTGTAAAATATTTGGCGACATGCTGAGAAATTGTGTGTGAAGGCTTTTACACTGATCATATCCCATGTGATATGTAGCTATTTTCATTATATTATACTTGATTAAATTTCAGTGGTGATGCATGAGATGTAGCATCATTCGTTATCTTTATGGGTAGTGTTTAAGAATTCTGTATCTATATCCTATTGGCTCTTTGATTCTTTATCCCTCTCTCACTCATTAGTCTGAATCTTACTCTGTTGTGAAAAGTAAATACCATTTACAAATAATGCAAGCACTTGCATACAGATTATTAGTTTAATGCATTCTAAATGGAGACTATTTTATTTCTTAAACATATTTTGATTCATTATTTCTTTAGTAAACACTGATAACTATTGTTTCCTTAGTAACCCTGGTAACTACTACAGCTGTGAGCATCATTTTTGAGGCGATATGAACATGTGGCTTTAAAACAGGATATTTTTAATATTTTAGTTATAGGAGCTAACTTACTATTAGAATATATGTAGAGAGTATTATATATTTTAATAACATCATAGCATATGCAGTACATATGTATATACATATACATACACACACATATATTTGGCTTTTGTTTCTTTAGGGTTTGGGGGTTTATTTGTTTTAAAGACAGGGTTTCTTGTGTAGCCCTGACTGTACCAGAACTCACTCTGTAGACCAGGTTGGTCTCAAACTCACAGAGATCCACCTGTCTCTGCTTCCTGAGTGCTGGGATTAACGGCGTGCACCACCATCATCTAATTGCAGTATATTTTTATATTGGTTGTTTTCATTTCCATAAGTATGATTTTAGCATCACAAGCAAAATTTTAGAATCCGAGTTGGTGGAGTAGAGGAGGCATAGCTCCAAGCTGCCCCTCAACCCTCATCTGGAAGATTCCCTGTAGTCTGTTAGGAACCTCAGCTCTGTGCTAACTGAACGGTGTGACTGGCATGGAGAATAATGTAAGGACTAGTCAGTTTTGGGATTAGATAAGTGATATGTTAATAATAGTATTTAAGAGGAAAGTGAAGGAAAGAGTCCCTAAGAGTCACCTTTCATTGTATATAGAATAGTCATTTACACCATTTTAGTGGCTTTCGAAGTTACTATCTTTAATGGTCTGCTAAGGGGTCTAAATCAGATCTCAGGGTGTTTCCAGGAGGATTCTTGTTGGGGTGACACGTGCTAAGATCACAGGGGTCAGAAAGTAGCATGACTTTACAGCACACACAGGTAGCAGCCTGGTTAGAGCATCACAAACATCCAGGGGGAAGAGTGAGACCTGCCAAGGCCTTGCACATGCGGGCCTCATGGTTGCTTTCTGGTGTTAGTGTAAGACATCTGACTAGCGAAGAATGGTGTTTCAT